GGCTTCCCCAAAATAATGTCATCAGACAATTGTGCCTTCAGCTGTAATCCTGTACGAACTGTGCGTGCATTTTTTATTTTGAAAATAAAATCGTGACAAAAGCATCAGATCGTGCCAGTGCCACTGTCATCAGATACATGCTGAATACTCCACCCAGGACTCATATACATCCTGTAGGCACGAAGAAAGTTGGACTATGACCCATTGAAGATTAAGTTTAAGAACAGAAACTTAATCATGTGTTTGATATAGTTCACAAAAAGGCCCCAGAATATATGAACTATCAAACTGACATCATTTGAAGTACCATAACTCTAACAAAAGAGCAAGCATTATATCATGCAGTGTTACTCGTGTTAATGGGTAAATAGCAAAAGCTAATTTTTTCTATACTGGGATCTCCTTATGGAACAGCCTGCATATTAAACAGTTTGAACCATGGGCGTCGGGTTGCAAGGTAGTCGAGTAGGTTAATAATGTAGGCTGTTTGCAAGGATTTGTATGTTTCTATATATTGTCATTTCCATCGAGAGTTTTTAGTTATGTTTTTAAGTACTATCCTTTGGGATTTTTGGGTCATGGCACTCCTTTAAGTCGTTGTGCTTTTAAATTCAACATAAAAATCAAATCACAGCTTCTTATTCACCTTAATGTCACCTTACAGTCACAATAGTGTGATTGAGGTACTTGATTCTATACAGTTTTAGTGCTATAATGGCACATGGGACCAGTGTACAGCTGGGTACCCCTCAGCAGTCACATGCACATCATAAAAAATGGCAAACATATGTGAATGTACATTTCTAGAGGCGTTACTGTTCTGGATATGTGCACTTAGTAACAGAGATGACAAAAAAATGCTTTGGTTGTAATATATGCACTTTGCCTTTAGCTGTTTCTGTATACAAGAAGATTCACTGTGGCACTATTAAGCACTTTAAAATAGCACATAAAATGTTTGTTATTCCCGACTTTCTGTTTCTCTTGTCGTCTGCAGCCTCAGTATCAGTGATGGAGTCCTGGAGGTAATACTAACAACTAATGCACAACAACATATTAAAGATTGCAAGGCTGCATATACTCTCACTCTTTATCTCTCTCAACTCCTACATACAAACACACACACACACACACACACACATACACACATACGCCCACATACAACCACTGGAAAAGACACTCTGGCAAATACTGTTTACTGATATGCGGATTGGGTTTAAGAGCGGAACGCTGAGCATTTCAATCTAAACAGTAAACACTCTTAATTGGATTGTGTGCTTATGTGCTTTGATGTGAATCCTCTAAGGACTGTATATTATTAGGCCTAATTGATTCTGATACATATTTACACGAGTTTGGAAAATTAGTCCAAAACAAATGCGAGTGGTTTCATCATGAGTCTAATAGCAGCGCATTACATGCCACCTTTTGGTTGAAGCAGCCATTACTGGAACATCATGCCGCTGCGGTGTCAGAGTTCACCGGTCATTTGGCAGTCCGGTGAGGCTGCTCTGTCTGTGTCAACATCTTGTGGAAATGACACCGCGGACCTCCCGCTCATCACAAATGAGGCCCAGAGGGGATGACGGGAGCCGAGCGTGGGGGCTTGCCATCAACCGGAGGGTGAGAGGTGGACCCACTGATCTTCTGTTGCTGACCTTGTATACCATCACCTGCCTCCAGAGGTCATGTGTCAAGCGATTCAACCTTGTCCACGTGGGATTTAGGTTTGCTTTTGTGCCCCTAGATATGTCACATTGCCAGCACAAGGCAAAACACAGGCACGGTTGCTTTGCTGATGGACACACAGCTACTGCCAGTGTTTATTAGACAGTATGAATGTGTTGGTCTCTGTATTTACAGGGCAGATGGGAAATGTCAAACAATGGTACCGGTGGCATAAAATAATAGTGTTTTGAGTTAAAATGATCATACGTGGAGTCATAATCACAAGAACAAAAGGCGTAACTTTGCACTTTTATAAAACACATATTTAAATGACTTTATAACACGCCTCCAAATCTCCTACATTGTTTCTTTTTTTTTTTTTAGGCAAGCAGACGTATCTATGATGTGTAGAAGGGGCTGTTTTTGTAACAGCCAAGACACAAACTTACCTACACATAGGGATGGGGGAAAAAAAATCGATGCAGTGTAGTAGCGCTAATTTACTCGTGACAATATTATATGAATACACGGATGTGAAGTGTCAATCTTTTATTACATACATCATTAATTTTTGCAAATACACATTTTAATACAATGTTTGGTACTAGAATAATAACATTAATTGCTTTTTCAGTCCACTAGATGGTGCTGGAAGGGTGGCATTAATTTGTTACGCCTGGACTTCATGGTCAGTGGATTCATATGTGACTATGACGGCTCATTATCTCACAGAGGACTGGCGACTGGACAGGAGCAATACACGACAGTCACACGGGAGCAAACACTGCAGACCTCCTGCAAAATGCAGCACAAGAATGGGGGATTGTGGCTGTAACAGACAACGCTTCTAACATGGGTGTTGCCATTCACTTAGCAGGATACCTGCATGTGAAGTGTTTCCCTCACGCACTTGGCCTCGCAGAAGGCCTTAAATCTGCTGACAGTTCAGTTTGTCAAGTGTATGCAGCATTTCTGACAGGTTTTATGATGGTGTTGGTCAGTCTGTCTGCTTTGTATCACATTTTGCTGCAATAGAAATGATTAAAGTCAGATGAACAGACCGAAAACTTTATCTCATGAAAAAGTTTTCCTTTCTGTAAATAATTTGCAGTTGGGAAAAAGGGTAATAAATCCCAATATATTGCAACAAATTGTATCTCAATATCGTGATAATATTGTGTTTCAACAACAAGATTTTTTTCGGCAATCCCCCATTCCTGTGCTGCATTTTGCAGCAAGTCTGCAATGTTTGCTCCGGTGTGACTTTCGTGCACTGCTGTAGTTTGGAGAATGTGAGACAGCAGTTGCCAGTTCTCTGTGAGATAATGTGCCGTTATATTCACATATGAATCCACTGACCTTTAAGCTCAGGCATCACAAGTTAATGCCACCCTTCCTGCTGTACTCAGATTCCTCAACTCTATGCTTTGCTTCTCTGTAGAACTTGGGTACTGCTATGTCGGTGAAAAAACATTGGGACAGAGTCATGTACACATGCTAAAAACACTGGAACTATGTGTTCTTAGCATGTAAGGAAAGCCTTTGATTTCATGAATGCTGTATGGACACAGATCTTTGCACATGGAGCAGGTGATGGACTATTATTTTCTTAGCCTTCTCAGAGTTGGATGGTAGTTTTGTCAAACTAAGTGCGTCCGTTGGTTGATTTTTCGGCAGAGCGAGTTTAATGTTAGCTTGGCTGTCAGTGGCTAACGCTATCTCTGGATGGTGGAGTGTGAGGTGAGCCCTCATGTTCGTAGTATTCCCAGAGTATTCTCATATGACACTGCTTGCAAATCGCTCATGTCATATCCAAGTCCTCCTTTGCTTCTGTTTTAAGAAATCCTAAATCAGTCCAGATGTTTGATTTAAATGCCATTTCTGATTTCTTTCTCTGGTTCCTCCATCTATGTTTTGATGAACCTCTGCCAAATGCCACTGACTGAGTCCTCTGCTGACCTCACCAGGAAATAAAAACATCAGCACCATCTAATGAGCCAAAAAAGCAATTGATTTTATTATTCAAGTACCAAAAGATGTATTAAAATGTGTATTTGCAGAAACTAATAATGTAAATAATAAAGATCGATGCTTGGCGTCTGTGTATTTGATACAGTATCGTCACACAAAGTATCGTGATACTACGCTGTATTGACTTTTTCCTCCACCCTAAATAGAAACCCAAGTCAAATAGCAAAGTCCAAGAAAAGTCAAGTCCATCTTAAACCAAAAAAAAACAAACAAAAAAAAAACAGATGGTCTTCGAAGCAAAGCAGCAGAGTTTGGGGTCTTGTAGGTTGATTTAGGGTTGGCGCCACTTTTTGCCAGGGTGACACTGTGGTGAGAAAATAACGTGAGCTCCTCAGCCAAGCGGGCGTGCACGTCTTTGGTTTCACATCACCTGTGATTTAAATTCCATTACTTGCTGTGCCACACTTCAAATAAAGCTCGAGCCTATTAATTACCAAAGTATGGGTTCAGGGTAAAGGTGAACGTGCAATTACAGAATTAAATCAAGCCCCCGTTTAGCTTGTCAGTCCTGACAGAAATAATTTGAGTGAATTATTAAATGCTTCCACCACTTTCTGCTGTTTCATTGTCGGCTCAAACATACTGCAAGAATCTGAGCTCTGCTCCTTTCTCTTTTAAAGTGCTTTTCTTACAAATAGTCTTAAACTGTATGTGTTTATGAAAAGCAAAATTTAAAAAAAAAAAAAAAACCCTCTGATATTGCTATGCCTCCAAATGCTTTCTGTGTTCCTTGAACCGTATAATAAAGGAGGCCAGGCTTAATGAGATCATTTTAAATTTGTGGTGGTTATGGTAATCATGCAGAAATTGTATATCATTATCAAGGTTTTAGGTCTAATGGTTTAGAAGTTGTAATTAGCTACCTGTTCAGGTAATTTAAAGTTCTGAGGTGATGTTCTTAATTATGCTCAGATTGAAAAATAGATCATATTCAAATTATATCAAAGGACTCTGCTGGCACCCATTTACACTTTTCATTTTTTGACTTTACCTTTGTTGTTGGGACTAAATAAGGGATCACAAATTGGACTGAACCATAAATATTTGTATGACTCTCCACACCCCCCCACCCCCCCCCCCCCCCCCCCCCCCAAACCCCCCACCCCCGTCGCACAGCCATGTTTTAAATGTTTGTTCCACTAAAATGAAAAATAACCAAAATGTCTTGTTTTGTCAAATTCTGCTGCGAGCAGGCATTTTAACTAATTGCCTGTAATGAAGCAATTTGCCAGCGGCTGACTGGATTCAGTGGTTGGGTTTTGGTCTCTATGACAACCAGCTGTCTGTAATTAGAAAATCAAGCCCGGGTGAGGTTTTGGGCAGTCAGAGTGGCTGCAAAAGAAGTCAAGAGTGGCAAGTGTTTGCAGTAATTGCGTTGCCGTGAAGTTTATGCTGATATGGCTGCAGGCATGTGTGTACCACTACTGATGGTTCTTTTCAGGTATTTTAAAAATTAATGTTTCCTGTGGATAAAAAAATCATAGCTGCTCAATGCAGTGCTCTTTGTCTGACTCTGTTTGTTGTCTTTTGCAGCACCGTCATGCTTCACTCTGTGTCAGCTGGAGGTGTGTATTGTGCTAAAACAGCCAGAGGTATGTAGTGAGATTTGATTGATGTTAGTACTTTTTATAATTACCCATTAGCGGGTTTATTTGACATTTCAAAACAATGAAACCTCTCACAGAGAGTAAATACAGTCTGCTATAGAGATGCAGAGATAGTGAAACTCTGGGCCCATACTGATGTTTGAAATAACAATTTGGGCATTATCTATACTGATGTTTCTGGTGTCTTATTATTTTGTTTTTGTTGTTATTTATTGTCCCTTTTGTGCCAGGGAAACAAAGAAATCTTTATTTGTTATTCTCTATTTATTTATTTATTTATAGGCAGTTTTATGCCTCTTTATGGTCAGTTTGTGTTTCTTTGTGTTTGTTTTGTGTCTCTTTGTGGCTGTTTTGTCTGTCCATGTGGTTGTTTTGTGTCTCCTTGTTTTGATTTTGGATCTCTCTGAGGCAGCTTTGCATCATTTTTTGGTTGTTTTGTGTCTCTTTACAAAATAACTGAACTGTTTTAAAGTCATTCAGCCCTTTATTACACTACCTTTTGAATGAACACAAATTCAATTATACACATTTGTGAAACAACCAATAAAATAACCTTCTTTCACAGGACACATTTTTTAAACTATCTATTAAAAATAATGGCTACAAACCCTCTTTACTATATATCTATCATAATTCCCTCTTTTATATGTATTTGAAGCGGCTGTGAAAACATCAACAAATTTCTCCTTCAAACAACTATTTATTAAAGTTTCTCATCAAAAACTACATTTGAACACATCATGAATGTGCTAATGACTTACCTTTGCTTAGTATTCATTTTTACTGAACAGAGCTTTAACCCCTCATAATGTAACTCATGCTGCTTTCAAAATGGGTCATGTGTACCGCGTTTATGAGAAGAGTCCATATGAACGCCCCCTGTTGTGGTATTCACATCGTAAGAGTTCATTTTCTAAGAGCTCAAAGTTCAAGACTTCTGTGTTGTAAACACAAGCTCACAATTACTGTTAGAACGCTGCATTAATGCAACCTCTGTTAGCTGTTAGCTCTGGCCACCGGCTGCTAACAGCTAATGTTAACCAGCTCTCCTCATGTCGATACCAACACAGATTTGTTGCTCATTATGTCGCATTACACAGAATCAATAAGGTGCGTTACCTGGCACACCAGTAGTGAATTCTTTTGTCGCAAGGATGTCCCCGGGAAGATCTCTATTCATCTTTAACATTTTTTCTGTTGTCCCCAAGACAATGGTAGTTTTGAGCACTGCTTTGTAGACTGCACAAAATTGACGTGACACATTGAAAAATCATCGGCCACTTCCATCTGTGAATGCCATCTTATTCCCTGTGAGGCCGATGGCAGTCAACAAGGGGAACATCGGCTGATGAACAAATTAACTTTATTTTTATAGCACCTTTCATGCAGCAACGGAATAAAACCATACGATTATACAACACTCATTCAAGGAGATATGAGAAGAATAAATACATTAATCAATAATTAATCAAATAATGAAAATACATAGTAGGTATAATAAAAAGAAAGCTGCTAGTTATCGGCTATATTAAAAAGATATGTTTTGAGTCGTCATTTAAAACTGTCCACTGATTCAGCAAGTCTGATATTTAAAGGCAGGGAGTTCTGTATTTTTGGGGCGTAGTAGCTAAAAGAAGCATTCCCCAAGATTTTTGTACGAACATTAGGAATGGTTAAAGAGGGTCTTAACTTGGAGAGGGTTCATATAGGGACATAAGGTGATAGGGAATCTGTAACATAGGAGGGGACGGTGCCATTAAGAGCCTTAAAAGACAATAGAAGGATTTTAAAATCATTTCTAAAAGATTCTGGGAGCCAGTGTAGGTTACATAAAACAGGAGTTATATGGTCTTTCTTTTTAGTTTTTGTTAAAACCCTGGCAGCAGCAGTCTGAATGGGCCGTAGTTTTGTAATGACAGTTTTAGGTAGGCCAGTGTATAGAGCATTACAGTTGTCAGGACGACTGGAAACAAAAGCATGAACAAGCTTCTCAGCATTTTGATGGCTAAGCTATAGCTATATTGTGTCAATAATAAAAAGCAGTAAGCAGCAGCAATAAAAATGAGCTTTAAAACTGAAATCAGAATCTAAAATGACACCCAGGTTTCTTACTGACCCAGTTTAGTGATACCATTGTGCAGCCAATAAATCAGTGCATTCCTAGTTTGTTAATATGTCTGTATGTTGTTCTGCTGTAGCCCGTGCAGCTGCCCTGGGTTTGGATTTTCCTGGGGCCTATGGAGCCCCTGATCTCCATGGACCAGCCCCCCACAGGATGCCGTTTGGTCCTCAGCCTTACGATGACAGTGATCCTGAATTGGATGAGACTGGACCTAACGTGGCCTCCTACAGTCAAAGTCAACCAGAAGTGCGATCCCTACATGACAGGATACAGAAACAGGCTCACCCCAGGAGTTGGCATGGCACTTACAGTCCAGTTCAAAGTGACTACACCACCGACCAAGTGCTTAGCCCTCCCAGAGGACGCTCAGTTATTAACCGCAAGTCCAATTTTGAGGAGGTCAAGCATGTTGCCCCCCCAACTCTGACTGCAGCCCGGGGCCAGCCTGACCTTGTGAATTGGGATCCTCAAGGTCGCAACAAGCCGCTCTCATTTGTCTACAACGAGCACGACCTTGCTGTTGACGAGTCTGTCCCAAATAGACGTGGCACGTCTCTGAGTGGGCTCTCCCTGCCCAGAAGCAGGGGTCACGGTGCTCACCAGAGGGGTCTAACTGGAAACGGCCCGGGAAGAGGAGTCCCTGTCCTCGGTTCATCCGGCATCACCGACAAAGACCGCGTCAGAGCGATGACTAGAAGTGCTGCTGTCGGTAGACTGAACAGGATTAGGTTCTCTGGCCATCTTGCTCAGCCGCTGCGCAGACGCCTCAATGTCAAACAATTTTTTCAAGGTAACCCCGCCCTGAGACATCTGACGAGAAGCGAAATCAGGTCCAGTTAGAATAAGTCACTGAGCTAAAGGGTCTGACACATAGCCTGGCTGTCTTGTCAAATCCTGTGAGGGGTTCTTAAAGTTAACAGGCGAGCATTTTGTGAAGGGAAAAACAATGATTTCAGAATCCATTTGTCTGGTTTTCTCTAACCTTTACTGCAAGAAACAATGTCCAACTTATCTGTGTACAAGCTCCTGCATTGTTGCTTCCTCACCTGTAGCTCTAAGACAAGTCACAGCTTACATTCTCTCCTGAATATAAAACTACTAATGGTTATATTTCTGAGTGTCTCTCTGCCTTTTGTCCTCCTCCCTTCATCATAATGTCTCACTGAGGCCTGGATGTTACCAGACTGCCATCTGTTGGCGCTAAGGGGAACTGCAGGTATCCTTTTGGCTCACTTTGTTGAACACAGGTGCTGCGTAACAGAAGGTCAGCTTTTGACAAATCCCCTAATCTGTTTACAATCTGTTGTTTGCAAGTACTACTAGTGGTTATGCTAATTTGTCCAAATAGCCTTGGTCTTTCAACGATGGCATGTTTCACCAGCGCTCTGACATTTCTAACAGAGACAATGAGGTGTTAAAATGCAGCCCTAGATCTGGAATTTGAGTCCCTGGTGTCAGTAAATGCAAAAATATTTACCTTCACTCTAATTCTTTTTACAAAGCAGAGCAACAGCTAAAGGCACAGATGGATTTCTGAGACCAGACTAATTGTAGAAAAGCTTCATAAGTCAACCCCCCCCCTTTGATTCCTCATTGAAAGACATTTAAGAGTGTGAAATGGAAGGCGGGTTAGGTTGTTCAGTGATTGACCAATAAATCAATCAATCAGGAGCCAGAGAGAGAGAGAGTCAGTTATGAGCACTCATCCAAAACGTGTAAAAGGAAATGAGTGACAGAACAAAGTAAAGCGATCAACTGTTTATGGGGAGCGGGAAGGCAGGCAGTGAGGAGCGGCCATACATCATACAAGATGTCAGGCTGGGCAGAGAGAAGGGACACTGAGCAGCCGCAGGCAGCTCGCAGGAAGCCCACCTGAAGACCACATGTTTTGAACATGTCGGGTTACATTCAAAACCAGAAGCAGAGTATATGTTGCATGAATTATTTTAATGTCAAGATTTAGGTGCAGTATGAGACTCTGAAAGATGCTCCACCACTTCTCCTACAGAGGAGCAACACTCATAGACTTTGTGGTGGTTTTGCGAACCCTTACATATCTTTTTGTTATGTGTCTCTTTGTGGTCATTCGGTGTCATCTTGTGTTTGTTTTGTGTCTCTTTGAGGCAACTCTCTTTTTTGGTTGTTTTGTCTCTTTGTAGTAATTTTGTGTGTCTGTGGTTGTTTGTGATTTTTATATTCATATCTTGTCTCCTTGTGGTTGTTTTGCGTCTCTCTGAGGCAACTTTATGTGTTTTTTGGTTATTTTGTATCTTTGTTTTAATTTTGTGTTTCCTTGTGTTTGTTTTGCACGTTCATGTGGTTGTTTTCTGTCTTTGTGGTCACTTTGTATCTCCTTGAGGTTGTTGCGCCTCTCTTTTTGGTCATTTTGTGTCTCTTCGTGGTTGTTTTAAATGTCCTTGAGGTTGTTATGTGTCTCTTAATGGACATTTTGTGTCTCCTTGAGGTCATTTTGTGTGTCTCTGTGGTTGTTTTCCATCTCTTTGTGGTCCTTTTGTGTCTCTTTGTGGTTGTTGTGTGTGTCTTTAGGGTTGTTTTCCATCTCCTTGAGGTCATTTTTTGTCTCTTTGTGGTCCTTTTGTGTCTCCTTGTGGTTGTTTTGTGTCTATCAGAGGCAGCTTTGCATCTTTCTTTATTGTATCATGTTTCTTTGTGGTTGTTTTACCTGTTTATGTACTTATTTTGTGTCTCTCTCCATTTGTTTGTGTTTTGTCTTTTTGTGTGTGTTTTTGTTGTTGTTGTTGTTGTGATTTTGAGTAGTCAGTATGTGTAATGAGTGAGGGGGGTGGTGATACTTGGGGATCATTGGGCCTGTACCTAATAGGCCTGTTGAATAATACATCCATGATCTCAGTGTATCACAAGAACCATAAAGCCAAATATACTTACCCTTCTAGCACAGGATTTCAGCCGGGCCTCGCTGTCACTGATTGCCACACACTCACTTCCTATGACACCCTGCAGTTGTTCGCCTCCTTACCCACGATCAATGACTTAATGACCCCTTGTACAGTTTGAAAAAGGAGGGCGAAAATCAGAGCAGGTAGGAGAATCAGCTGGGTATAAACCTGTGGGTTGTAGCAACCTAAGATAAAACACAGAGCGCACATCGCCAGCAGCTCGCCGGTTTAATGTCACAACATGCCAGATAGAAGGTTCATTAGCATGACTTGACTGACAACTAAGTCTGACATCTCTTTATATCAGATCGTCTCCCTTTGCATCACAGTTTAACTCAACTATTACACCGAGGCAGATGAGATGATTGACAACAAATCTCACACAGAGAGTGGTACACCCCAGAAACATATGATTAATTTACATGAACAGAGGGACTGACAGTAGAGCTGAAACTAATGAGTATTTTAACAGTTTATATTATTTTCTCAGGTAATCGATTGGTTGTTTCGTCTGTAATAAATGGTGAAAATGTTGATTAGTGTTTCCCAAAGTCCAGATGACATCCTCAGAGGTCTTGTCAACACCTAAAGATATTTAGTTTACTGTCATAGGTGGGTAAAGAAGCCAGATTTAGAACATTTTGGCTTTTTTTAATCACTCAAACCGAATAATTGAGTATCAAATTAGCAGTTAATTTTACAATTGCAATCGATTTATCGTTGCAGATCTAATTGACAGTAGGTCCATCTGTTTAGTTGACAAAAAATAAGAGGACTGAGGACTAACTATCTGCACAAGGTGGACAGAATAAAATAGCTGCAGAATGCAATACATAACACAAGGCACACAAGGGTTAATGTGACATTTGAAAAGAGGAACTTCTGTTGAGGAATCGAGGGGTTTTAATTTTACGCTATGCTAATTTTTTAGGCTGTGGTTTGTGGTGTTGCACTGCTACATATTGTTTTGCTACTTTTTCCACTAAAACACCACAGTAAACTGCCTGTTTATCCACATGATGGATAAAATAACAAGAATATTACTGTTATATTGCTGTTTTATTGTGAGGTGGTGAGGCCCTAAAACAGATTACAGTCATCACTATGACAGTTTTTATTAAAATTAAACAGGTATCAATTATTGCAGGGCTATTTATATTTCACACATTTCTTACTGTACGCTTTCTGTAATCATCTGCACCATTAAAAAATTCACATCTTCATAGAGTCCACTCCTCACTGCCTGTACTGCCTGTAACTGTGTGTGTGTGCCTGCATAAAGCATTTATGCTTACCTAAAAAAAGTGCAAACATTTAGGCACTTCTTATTTCCTCACAACCCTGAACAGTGGCTACTTTTGTGCAGTTTGAAAAAGGCAAATGAACCAATGAATGCTCCAAAATACCTCACTGGGCATATTTAGAAATGAGGCCACAAAAACAGTCGCAGCCCTCTGGTTTGTCATTAAATAAAGTTTCTGGTTTCACATGCTGGCGCTCCCCATGAGCTGGTGTCCTCAACAGAATTCAACAAAACGCACCATAGACCAGTTTAGTTCTGATGTCAGTCGGATCATTGTCCACAGACCAACACACAGTAAAACTTTATAGAGCCCACAGAGACAGTCGTGACACTCAACTTAGTGTCCAGTGGAGCTTGGACCGTTTATGTTGTTGGCTTTAGGCGACTAAGTTTTACAAGCGTTTTACAAAGCTCGACTAAATGTCTTCAATGTCTAAAGTTTGTATATGAACACTATAAAGTTAATCCAGGGACACAGACAACATGTATACTTAATCAGTGCATGATAAATCAGAACAGACTGTAGTGCATACCGTTGTGTGAAGGTGCATTCAGGCGTTTGTTGGAAGTTTGAAATACTTGACATCACATGGGATGAAGAAATGAAAACCACAAAAACGTCAAGGATGACATAATAAATTCCAGATTTTTTTTTCAATTGTGATCCTTGATACTGTCAAATCCTTTTGTTAGTTATGAGTTAAACACTTTATACACATTATGAGTTTGTTGTCTGTTCACACATAGGTCATACATATCTAACATTTTTTAGTTTCTGCCACTTAATGTGCAGGTTTGTCACAATATATAACAATTCCTACTTTATCTCACTGTTGTTTCCTTTTTGTTTATTTGGCATTGAACCTTTTTTCTTGTTACTACATATATTAATTATTTATAGTTTACATTTATGTCATTTTCATTTGTAATTTCTGTTTCTGTGGCTTTTGTCTAGTACATGACGTGACCCTCTTAAATGGCACACCTGTTTCCAAAGCATTTAACACCCTGATGAAGACACTCGAAACGCGTTGATTTATCCATGTATTGATAAAGGATTTTTAACTACAGTCACAGTGCCTTAGATGCATTTTTGGACTGCCTGCCTGTACTATAGACTTTTACACTGAGTGAGCTGGCCAGTCGTTGTTTTTAATCTTTATGTGACTATTTGCACCATCCTTGAACAGCACCTGATTTTTTTACAACTACCCACACAGAGCCTTAACCCACCCAGCGCAGCACTCCCTATTTTTTCCTCGTGATCCTAGATATCATACTATCAACAAACCAACACAATCGACACCTAAATAAATAATAAATAAGTCAAACATCCAAAAAATATAAGAAAACTAATCGCATGCAAATTACCTGAGCTGTTAGAATTGGTGTTTGGCAAAATGTACCCATAGGTTCAAGCTCAAAACTAAGGACTAAGGACGGTGCTTTTGCCATTTTAAATTCTACAGTAGCCTGTGTGCTTTGACAAATAGCAATGGTAGTTTTTAACATCTGTTGATGTCAAATCATATCAGTGTGTATCAGAGGTAAACTAAGCCGGCACAGTGTGATGAAGCTCATTTCCTGCTCGAGACACCCACAATTAACGACAAAGTAGAGACTTAATAAACACTTGTTTAACAAACCCTTAACAGTCTTCTCTGTCGATGGTTGCCAAACTTGGGGTTTGGACCCACCGAGGGCTTCACAGATAAATCTAATGGGACACTAAATTGTTTGAATATTAGTGATACACGCCTTTCTCTTCTCTATTTTTTTTTTCTTATGAAACACTGTGTACTTTCACTTCTCAAAGACACTGAAAATTGCACAAATAAACCACTCCCAAGGAGGCAAAACTCTGTCCATAATGATAATAACTTGTGATA